TATCTTCTTCTACTCAGTAGGCTGCCTTTTCATTTTATTGTTGGCGCCCTTTGCTGTGCAGCGGCTTTGCAGATTGCCGTAGTCCCAGTTGTTCATTGTTGCTTTTGTTTCCTTTGCCTGGGGAGCTGTATCCAGAAAAAAGCTGTTAAGGCTGATGTCTCAGAGTTTACTGCCTGTGTTTTCTTTTAAGATTTTTATGGTTTCAGGTCTTATATTCAGTTTTTAATCCATTTCAAGTTTATTTTTGTGTATTGGGTAAGAGAGTGACCCAATGTAATTCTTTCATATGTAGCTGTCCAGTGTTCCCAATACCATTTATTAAAGATACTGTCCTTTCTCCATTGTATATTCATGGCTCCTTTGTTGTGGCTTAATTGACCATGTACATGTGACTTTACTTCTAAGCTCTGTTCTGTTCCATGGATCCATGTCTCTTTTTGGGCCAACACCAAACTGTTCTTATTACTATAGCTTTGTACTATGCTTTGAAACCAGGTTACTGTTACTTCCAGCTTTGTTCTTCTTTCTCAAGGTTGCTTAGGCTATTCAGGGTCTTTTGTGGTACCATACAAATGATAGGATTATTCGCTCTAGTTCTGGCAAATGCCGTTGGTATATTGATGGGAATTGCATTGAATCTGTAGATTGGACTTGGGTATATAGATATTTTAACAATATTAATTCTTCCCATCTATTAGCACAGTATATCTATCCATTTATTTGTGTCATCGATGTCTTAAGATTTTCAGAGTATAGGTCTTTTACCTCTTTAGTCAGATTTATTCCAGGCATTTTATTCTTTTCGATGCAATTATAAATGGGATGGTTTTCTTAATTTGTCTTCCTGATAGCTTGTTATTACTATATAGAAACACAACTGGTTTCTTTAAGTTAATTTTGTATCTTATGACTTCACTGAATTCATTTATTAGTTCTAATAGTTTTTTAGTGGAGTCTTTAGGGTTTTCTGTGTATAATATTATGTCATCTGTGTATAACATTATGTCAAATGGTGATGATTTTATTTCTTATTTTCCAATTTGGGTGGCTTTTGTTTCTTTTTCTTGCCTAAGTGTTATGGCTAGCACTTCTAGTACTATGAATAAAAGTGGTAGGAATTGACATCCTTGTCTTATTCCTTATCTTAGAGGAAAAGCTTTCAGTTTTTCACTGTTGAGTATGTTAGTTGTGGGTTTGTGCCTTTAATTATGTTGAGGTATGTTCCTTCTACATCCACTTTGTTGAGTTTTTATAATAAATGAATGTTGAATTTTGTCAAATGCTTTTTCTGCATCTATTAAGATGGTCATATGATTTCTATCCTTAATTTTGTTAATGTGGTATCACATTGATTGGTTATGGGTGTTGAACCATCCTTGCATCTCTGGAATAAATCCTGCTTAATTGTGGCATATGATCCTTTCAATGTATTGTTGACCAGCTTTTGGGTTTTGTGGTTCGCCATGGTCTGGGGCCTGTAACAGGGCCCTGTCTACAGTGCTTAGGCTTCAGGAGACAGGGGGTGGGGATTTGCCAGGATAGGCTCCGGAAGTTTTCAAAAGCTGCAGTTCAGCCCGCTCCAGGAAGAGGGAGCAGCAGGGCCAGTCCTCACTGGGCTTAGTCCTGCCTTCGGAGCCTATTTCCAGGTAAGGAGATGATGTTTGCTCAGAGGATATGGTCTAGACTCCGGAGCAGTGGTTCTCAGAGTGTGGGCTCCAGCCCGGCAGCACCAGCAATATCTGGAAAGGCTGCATTCTCAGGCCCACCCAAGACCTGCTGGATCTGAAACTCTGGGGGTGAGGTTGAAAATTTGCATTTCTAACATATTCTCAGGTGGTGTTGCTGGCTCAAGGACCACACTTTGAGACCCGCTGGCCTACAGGAGCTAGAAGTGCCTTCTCCCTTGAGTTATGAGTGAGCCTTAGGGTAGCAGGACCGGCTTGCTCTGCGTGTCCAGGAGGCAGCGTCAGCACTTACGTCATGGTCGGGACTTGCTGCGCCCTGAGCTAAGGCTCTCCGTTGGAGGGAATGAATGCTTCTCATGGGGACGGAGAAATGAGGCTCCAGGCCTGGCACCAGGACGAGCCCTCTCTGGGTCATGGCAGAGCCTTGGCAACCTGCTTAGTGGCTGGGAGGTACTCTGCCTCCTCGCAGGTGTGCGACCTTGGGCAGGTAACCAACCTGGTAACCTCGGTGTCCCCATTTGTGAAGTGGATTTACATCTCCCTCAGTTACTTTGAGGATGAGTCACTTACACATGGGGCACCTAGCATATAGTAGAACTCCATAGTAGACACACAGTAGGTCTTATGGTATTTCCCTCCCCTTCCCATAGTAGCAGTCTTCAGCTACCTGCCCTGTCTTTCAGTATCTCAGATGCTAACAGGGCCCAAGCTTGTTTTCCAGGCTGGGAGATCATATTGGCCCCAAGGACCTTATTTAATATTAAATATTCCACCTTAGAAAATCAGGGGTCACCTCTCTTCTGTCTACCTCCCTTCCCTAGACAGTCGCCATTTAATCCAAAACACAGCTTCCCTTCCACCACACATCCCCGGCTCACAGATAGAAAATGTCTCCTGCCTGCTGCCCGGAGAAAGTCCCAGTTCTGCAGTCAGGCCCTAGTGCCCTGGGCACTCTCCTTCCTGGCTTGGGCCATCTCTGCAGCCCTGCCAGGCTGCCATGCAGTCCCTCGCATGATAAATTGGACAAGTAGTCTAGACAGTACGTGATCCTCTCTGCGTTTACTCCAGGGGAGAGCAGAATGACGTCACCACTCCTCGTGACAGGGGTGTGTCTGGCACCAGGCAGCCGGGAGGCGTCACGGGGCAGGAAAAGGGTTTCTGCACTCACCGCCTGTGCTCCACATCAGGTGACATGCCCACTGCAGTGAGGCTGGTGATGGAGATGCCAGGCAGAGCAGGCTGAGAAAACCCACGGCACCTGCCTGGGAGGGGAAAGGGAAAACACCTGGGCAGCCTTGTGCTCATCTTGGTGAGCCTGCCCAGGACAGCCGGTGTCCTCCTCCGGGGCCATCTGTGATCCCAGTCGGTGAGCTAGAGTCTGGATGTGATGGCTCAAGATTCTCCCCTCTTGAAAACAAAACATCTCTCCCTCCTCCTCTCCCCCCACACAGCCCCGTGCCTCCCCGCCGCTAAGCTGCTCCAAAGAGCTGTCCGGCCTTGCCTGTCTCTCCTTCCTCACGTCCCACCCCCTCCGCGGCTCCCAACACGGCCGGCCCCATCCCTCCTCTGATGCCACGCTCGCCTAGGTCCCCGGGGCCCTTGAATAGCTAGGTGCTCAGGGTCCGCCTGGTCCTTCCTAGGGTTCTCCCGTGCATCTGGCACAGCCGACTGGCCATCCCTTCTTGAGAAGCTTCCTCAGTTTCCACCCCCGCCTCCTGGGCCTCCTCAGCCTCTCGCGATCGTGGTCGTCCCCTCCGTGGGCCTCTCCTTCCCCTCCTGCTCTTCCATGGTGCTGACCTCAGAGCCCTGGCCTGAGTCCCTGCTCCTCCCCCTCAGGGCCATGTCCTCGGTGACCCGCACCCACCCCAGGCCTCAACCTGCACTCTGTGCAGACGAGCGCCACACGGGGCCCGGCCTGACTGAGCTCCTGCCCCTTGACCCAGTTGCCCACTTGCCGTTTTACATGTATGTTCCACCAGCATCTCAAACCTAACAAGTTGAAAACCAAACTGATGAGCCTCCCCCAAACCTATTCCCTCCCTTGAGAAGCGTCCACCTATCAGAGAATATTAGGATCAGATTAGCAACTGGAAATAAAGGAAAATAACAAAATGTGCGCCGTCCCAGCACAGAGGCCAGCGCTAGAGCGTTGGTGCACGGCCGCCTTCTCTGCGCGCTGTTACTGTTCCAGTTTCCCAGCCTGTCATTTCAGCATAGCAATGCTCCCATGCTGTTACCAATTCTGTTAGCTTATTTTTTTTTAAACTGGAACAGATGACCCACTCCGACAGTACAAAAGAGGATGTGGTGAAAAGTAACTCTCCCTCCCACCCCGACCCTCAAGTCACCCAGGCAACTGCTGTCCCCAGTGCCATTCCCGTCCTTCTGACCTTCTGACGTATTCCGTGCCCATAAAGGAGCACGCACAGTGCCCCCCCTCCCACTGTTCTTTACGCGTATGTGAGCACAGCACACACCTGTTCTATGCCTTCCCTTTCTTATTTAACAACCTATGGCAACCACTCCGTGTACCCTGGCTTTTAATGCACCCCTGCCCGTCCCACAGCAGGCCGTTCGGGTAGTCCGCCTGACTGGCCTGGCTGTTAGAAACCAGACCGCAGCGAGGAAGTGCTAGGTGGGCCGTGCCTGCGGGGAGGGGTGGCTGGGAGAGGGGGACGTGAGAAGGAAGCATCGATGGGGCTTGGGGTGCGTGTGGAGGGGCAGTGAGCCTGGTAATAGAAACGGGCTGACCCAAAGAAGTGGAAGCAATGCCGGCTGTGGGTCCAGGGCGGGTCTCATCCTGAGCTCACTGGCATCGAGTGGAAGTAGAACACTAGAAAGATGGGGGCCACAGTCAGGCCCAGAGCACACGAGGGAGGTGAAGGCCAGAGTCATGGCCCAGGGACTGGGCTAACGGCGGAGGGCAGCCCCTGTGCCCGCCTCGAGCCGGCGCTTTACCCCTCACAACAACCAAGAGGCAGGCATTTTGTCCCTGTTTTACAGACAGAGAAGCAGGTGATAAAAAGTGGTGACTCAAATCCTGCTTCTTGACCACAGGACAGGCCTCCTCTGTGGAGGGTGGGGAGCAGGGGCAGAGGGCATGACCCTGGCTGGATGGTCACTATTCAGAGGGGAGCAGAGAGGAGAGAAACCATATGTGGTTTCATGCACTAAATTCAGGGATTCTTCTGTGAGCCTGTCAGGCCTCTGCATGGCAAGGCTTGGATCAAGTGTGCCATCCGGGGTCTCCTAGGCCCTGTGTGGTACCCACCACTACTCTGCTGCTAACCTGGGGCCTATGCTCTTTCCTGGCAGGTGTTGCCCATCATTGTTTTCTTCAGCTGTGTCATGTCAATTCTCTACCATGTGGGCCTCATGCAGTGGGTGATCCTGAAGGTGAGTTCCCAATGCCATGGCCCGGGGTCCCCCAAAGTTACCTGCTCACAGGACTCACACTTTCCCAGAATGCCTTTCTCCCAGAGCCCAAACCCTCCCCACATACCCTATTCTGAGGTCCTGCACCTTCCCAGAATCCCCTGCTCCTAGGATCTATGCCCTCCCAGAATCCCCTGTTCCCAGGGTCTATACCTTCCCAGAATCCCTTTTCCAGGGCCTCTACCCTCCCAGAATCTCCTATTCCCAGGGTCTATGCCCCCCCAGAATCCTCTTTTCCCAGGGTCTCTGCTCCCCCCCAGAATCTCTGCTTGCAGGATCTACACCCATTCAGAGTCTACTGCTCACCAAACATCCTTTCACAGCGCCTTGTTGTGATACTAAGGAGAACTGACACCAAATCCATGTGGTCTTTGTGGGAGGGAAGTTGGCAGAATTGAAAAGAAATGTTAGGGAAAACAATTTATATGAAAAAGATCTTGAGAGACTGGAGCAGTGGGCCACATCGGCCAAACTTAGCTGGTATAAATGTCAAGTCCTTTGCTTACGGTCGTAAGATGTGCTGCACAAACCAGGATGCAGGAGCCAACCTCGGACAGCATCGGACCTGGCAGAAGATTCTGAGGTTTTAGCTGTTTGAGCTCAGAATAAACCAGCACCATCAGGTGACTGCCAGAAATGCAGAACTACCTGTGGTTATGTGAAGGGTGCACAGTGCACAGCATGAAGGGGGCAATTATCCCCACACCTGGGGGTGTCCGACCAAGGGGCTGTGGCCAGCTGAATCATGAGAGGGAGAGGGAGGCGCCTTGACACCACGCCGTCCACAGAATGGCTGAGGAGGCAGGGATGATGAGCCTGGAAAAGAGAGGTCTGGGGCTCAGGAGGTCCGGTGGGACGGCTGTCTCCAAATACCCACAGCAGGAAGTTGGGGAAGAGCAGCCTGAGAGGTGCCCGCAAGGGAGGGAAAGTCCAGGGGGGCAGACTTCCTCTTGGTTGAAAGGAAGAACTTTCAAATACAGTATTTTCCAAAGCCTCTTCCACAGAATTCTAGTTCCATCATGGTTTAACAAATGTTACCAGGTCAAGTGATCCCACAGACCAAAGCTTTGTGAAGTCAGGCTAGGCAAATGTGAATGAGTTTGTGCAGGAATTCTCAGAGCCTTTAGGCAGCTAATATTATTGCTAATCTCCAAGGTGTTTGTGTATAGCAATTCTCAAATATATTCGACCAGGGAATACTTTTGCTTGGAGATGGAAAGCATACATTTTAGAAGAGCTGCTCTAATGGTGGGGGCTATCCTCAGGTGGAGTGGGTGGCCCTGGGGACCCTGAGTCCCCGTCAGTGGAGGCATAGGAGAAGGTGAATGGGCCTTCTGGGGAAGTGTAGGTGAGTGACCCTGTGCTGGGCTGGTAGTCAGCAGGAAGACTTGGAAGGAGCTTCCGCCCCGCCCTGCCTCTCTCTGGCCTGGGGCTGTGGTGCCGGCCCCCACAGAGCGCTCTGCCTCCTAGATCGCCTGGCTGATGCAGGCCACCTTGGGCACCATGGCCACCGAGACCCTGAGTGTGGCTGGGAACATCTTTGTGAGCCAGGTGAGTATGGCCTCTGTGCTTGTGCTCAGCAGCAGCGTCCACAGGAGGATGGGTGCCCTGGGTCCCCAGAGCTGGGATTCAGCAGAAGAGCCACCTGAGACTTCTCCCAGGGCCGCCAGGGCTGCTGCCCCGGGATGGTCCATCTGGGGACACACGCCTTGCCTGCGCCGGTGCAGGAGGACGGAATCAGGGTGCCGCCTCCTCGCCCTCTGGGCTTGGGCTGTCTCCATCAGCTCGGAACCCATCCGTGCGCGTGGGAGCTGTGGCTCGGAGGTGGGGGTGACTTGCCAAGATCCCGCAGTATAAGCCAAGGCTTGGGATCCAGGTTTCCTCCTTCCTGGCCAGAGTTCTTGCCACGACACCATGTTGTCTTTTTTCCCCTCCCTTTTTTGGAAAATGTGCCCATCGACCAATGTTTGAGTCACCAAAATACACACTTGCCAAAGCGTGCTGTATTTCATTGGACAGTTTAGGGAACTGTGGAGAATATTTGCATCTTTTTGCTATGGTGCAAGCATGTTAATCTCAAAGTTGTTTTCTGTGAGCCAGTTAAGACAGATGCGCTCTCAGATGAATTGTCCAAAATCCCCTAAGATGTTCAAAATGAGGGAAAAGAGAAAAAGATACTGAGTAGGAAGGATTTATCTTATATGTTGTCAATGTGATCAGTGGTATTGCTGAGAAGAATATAAACTTCAGGTGAATGTTGTCTTGGGTGAGGTGAAGAGCTGCCAGGGTGAACTAACTCTGGGTCTTGGCCTCAGATTTCCCCAAGGAAGGGATGGGGAGCCTGCAAGGATTAGTGGCATCATTTCAATTCAACCTCAGTGCTGGCAGGCCCGGGGCTCTCCTCTTCTCCAGCACACTCCATCCCGGGGTGGCACAGCAGCCCCATAGCTTACACACCTTAAATATCTCCCAGGCCCCTCTCTGCAGTCCTGGCCTGTCCCCTAAAGTGCAGCTGACACATCAACAGCCCTGACCTTGCCCGTGGCCATCTAAGGGGCACCTCAAGTTTACCAGGCTGAGTCCACACGGCTGAGGGCTTGGTTTCCTCTCCAACACACCTGCTCAGCCCTGCATCTTTCCCTTCTCAGTAAACAGTAATGTCTTCCTCGAGATTGTTAAGACAAAAATCGTGAGTCATCCATCTTCCTCTGCTTCCCTTGCAAATGGCCCCATCACTACGTCACATCCACCCCATGTCGCATCCCAGACCGCCCTGCTGTCCTTCTCCATTGCCACAGGCCGCCTCTCTCTCTCCTGGACCCTGCAGTCTCCTCCTATCTGCTCCCCTGCTCTGTTTCTGCTCCTACTGTCTGTCTTTCACACAGGTGGCTGGGGTGACCCTGTAAAGATACAAGTCGGATGATGTCACTCCCTTCTTAAAGAAACCCACTTCGTGCTCTTTGCAGACCAAGGCTTGCCCACCTGCCCTCCTCCTCCACCGTGACTGCGCGCCCGCACACCCCTCCTGCTGCAGACACACTGGCCGGCCCACGGGCCCTCAGACGTGCCAAACTCAAACCTGCCCCTGCCCGTGCTGTGCTGGAAGGCTGGGCCACCAGGCTGAGCAGCTGGCTCCAGGTCTCATTCGGACGCCCACCCTCGTGAAGGCCTTTGCTGGTTACTAGATTTTAAATACACACCGACTGCTGGGCCTCCTGCTGACTCATCTCCATAGCTTTTCTCACCATCTAAAATTACGCGGTTTACCTATTTGGCTCCTTGTTGGTCACCCACTTCTTCCCTTCATCGCCTCTCCCCTCACTGCGGCCAGGACATAAGCTCCTTGGGGGCAGGGACTTCAGCTTGTTTACCCCTGTGTCCCTATTACATAGGACAGTCTGGCACATAGGTGCCCAGTAACAACTTACTGAGTGAATGAATGAATGGCTCCAGGCTTCCCCAGATGCCCTGAGGTAAACACACCATCTATTGCCCCAGCTCCTTTCTTTCTGGAAACCCTCGTGGCTTCATTAAATGCTCAGGTCTGTGGTTGCATCTGCCTCTTGCCCTTTGCATGAATGGAGGTAATTCTTCAAACCTCCCTGGTCCCCTGGTTGCCCTCCTGGGCATGCTTTCTTGGGGTGGTCAGAGGTGAATGTGAGGCACTGGGTGGGGTGCCTGCCCATGGAAGATGCTGGACATGGGGGTATTATCCGGCCTAGGAAGACCTGGGGGTCTTTCCAGAGCCAGGCTGACACTGAAGTTAAGAGGCTCAGCCAAAAACACGCCATGGTCCTCACGCCAGGCTGCTGCCTTGTCCCCTGGGGTCCCCAGCACCCACTGTGACTGGCAGGGAGGGGGACGCCCCAGGTTCCTGTGCTGTCCTGGCCGGCTCTGGCTGTCTGACATCTTTCTTGTTTGCAGACGGAGGCTCCTCTGCTCATCCGGCCCTATTTGGCAGACATGACGCTCTCTGAAATCCACGTTGTCATGACGGGAGGCTACGCCACCATTGCTGGCAGCCTGCTGGGCGCCTACATCTCCTTCGGGGTAGGTAAAGCCCTCCCTCTGCCTCAGACAAGAGAGAGCCCAAGCCCCTCCCCAGGGGGCCCCACACAGCTCCCAGCCAGTGCGGCCGGCCTCGGGGCTGCTTTCCTGGCGGTGTCTGGACCCTGGGCTGCTGTGCTGGGAGAGGACATCACCTGAGTGAGGCAGGCCAGTGGGCTGGGCCAATCCGGCTCCTCAGGAGGTCGGTGGGGACAGAGGTTTCCAGTGGCCCACTTACTGAGCACCTCCTGTGTACCAGGCCAAGTGCTAGGTGTGCTAATACGCCCATTTTACAGATGAGGATCTGATTCCCAAACTCAT